AGATTGAATTTCAAGAACCTTGAATTGAGAGACCTATAATAGTCTATCAAAGAAACTATATCAATATTGAATAATAACTCAGTCCACTTTATGTACATAGATATTTTTGAATGAATACCAGGTGATGAACTCTATCTTTAAATGGTATCAAGGTTTATCTTCATCCAAACTCATGATTATGCATTCGCTTATCCTAATTTTTTAGACAAAACTGCAAACACTTCAATCCTATAATTAATTGAATCTATCAATAAATGTACAACTTCAAAAGTTCCAGTAACTACAAAACATGATTAATTAATCATTATATAAACAATGGAAGCCTGAGTAAAGCAGAGGAAATTATATATCCCTCTACTAAAGAAGAGTTGTGAAGATCATTTCAAAGGTTTCCTTTACTGAGAACAGAGTATGTTGGAAAGCAAAAGCTTGGAACTGCTACGGGAGCCGGGTGATCTTTAGAGCCTTGAACCTGTTAGTTTTAGGACCATAAGAAACCAGAGCTTTCTTGTTACACTCCAACACAATCTTCGCGTCCTTCAGGACACATAAAATTCTTATGAATCTTCCCATCCAGCTCGAAGCAAAATCTTCAACCACCATTCCAAGAGGAGCATTATGACACTTGTTACACTCCAACATTGATGCAGGGAAGGTAAGGGTAGAACAAACAGAAACTAAGAACTTCGTAAAATTAAAGATGGAACTAAGAAAACTTAAGTTTACAATCTCAAGTTTATTCTTAAACTAAAATATCATAACAAAAACTATTCTTGAAATCTAAGAAGAATAACCATATATACTAACAAGAGCTAAGAATCCCAATTCAAATCTAATTTGAATTTCTAATAAACTATGACTTTCTAATAAGCTACTAATTCTAATTCTAATTAAAAATGACTTTCCTAAAATTAAAATTTAGACTCCAAGTAAAACTCAAACTTAATGCAAAACAAACAGCCCTAAAACTAATCATTAAAAAGAGCATACCACCGACATTGATTCCCTGTATAACTTATCATGTTGTCCTCTTACCTCTTACTGGACATTTCTGTGTGAACATTTGTTACAGCATATATATATATATATATATACAATGTTTTAAAACTCGACCCAGTGATCAACCCATTTTCATCACTGGGTCTGGTTTAACCGGTTCAACCGGTTTAATTGACCGGTTTAATCGGTCCGCCAAGGAATTGACTTTTTTCTCCAATTTTTTTTTACATTTCACAGCCATATACCATTATTACTCTATTTTGAAGACATAATCACTTTAAAAATGTCTTGAAAATAGAGTAATAATAGAGTTAAAGTTGAATTTCTAATTAGACTAATTAAAATTTTAAAATTAAATGACTAGAATAAATTATTTTCCCCGCAATGCAAAAGTGAAGTAATAAAGGAAAAAACATCAAAATAATCCGAAAAGCCAAGTTAGTTTAAACAAAAATTCATTCATGATGTCATATCATATATAAGCTAATTAATTACAGATATTCTACTCCTTTTTCAAGATAATTAATTATAAATTTTCTTGGCTAATTTCATTTTCAGTATA